GCATTACCAACACCAAGACTGAGACTATATCAGCAAGACGAAGGTCGAGATGGCGACTACAAATGCAAGACCAACACCAAGACGGAGACTATATCAGGAAGACCAAGGTCAAGATCGAAACTATACCAACAAGAACAAGGTCAAGACTGAGCCTATATTAGCAAGACCAACACCGAGACTGAGACTATATCAGCAAGACTAAGGTCATGATGAGATTATATCAGCAAGTCCAGCACCAAACTATATTAGCAAGGTCAAGGTCAAGGTCGAGACTATATCAGTAAGACCAATACCAAGACTGAGACTATATTAGCGAGACCAAGGTCAATATCTAGACTATGTTAACAAGAACAAGCCCAAGACTATATTAGCAAGGCCAAGGCCAAAACTGAGACTATATCAGCAAGACGAATAAGCAAGACTAAGACTGAAAGACCAAGAACAATTTAGCTCATCATTAATATTAAATTTTGCGTGCACAACTCAATTCGAAATAGTCAATCCTCGGGAGACTGACAATTTATAACGCGCACGCCGAGAAAAAAAAAAAATGGAACGCGGCCAAAACTGTCGGTATTCGGCGCGAAAATAAAATGCCGGAGTTAGCCAGTTTTATCAGCGTTTCATTTGATCTTTTATGTGTGCAGTAACGGGGTAAAGCCCACGGGCGCGAAATTCGTGTTGCTGACAATGGCAATTTCGAGCAGCAGCAGCAGCAGCAGCAGCGCAGCAGTTGCCACGAGAGTGCAATTATTCACGGTCCCTCGAGAATTTAACAACTTCTCTTTGCACTACGATTTTTTACGACTGACAATTCATAAAAGGATTTTCCTTTCAGTTTTCTAACGCCGATGCAAACGAAAACCTTCTCGTTAATGAAACGATAAAGATATTTCAAACTAAGACAAATTTCTGATTCTTGGTCAGTCATTTATCGATACTGCTTCATGTGGATCTCAGATAGGGCCATGGGGTCTCTCGATTAAATCACCAACGGAGCCAAAGGTGTTCTATGCAAACCTTTTTGTGTAACATCGATTTCAGATACCTAATATGTCGCTATTTAGTGATGTTTGCTGCTGTGGCGTGCTGATGGTACCAAATAAGATCGAAATTACCATTTACTTGTGGTAGTATCAGTAAATAACAGATCAATAATTTCATCCCTTCGGTGCTATTGCTTATATCAGCTAAAAGAAACTCACCCTTCATTACTACAACACCTTTTTTGAGGAATGAGCACGTATTTTGGGATTATTATCTTGACAATATCCCAAATATTTTCGGGATAATGCTAGTAGATTATAGTGTATTGATGATAAAAAATGCTTCCAGCTTTGAAGTGGCGGAGCGTGAATTTCTGTTACCCGGGGCGAAACCTAAATTTGATTCCCTTCCTAGTTTAAAAATTCATCATAAGGTCGCCAGTCCTAAGTCTGGTTGGACACGCACCTTCACTCTTTCCTATCCTGAGCTAATCTTCGCCTTTCCCTAAAACTAGAACATCTCACATCCTTAATTATTTGCGAACAGTAATCTAATCTAGGACGTCTTCACATTTGCGCCCCCCGGGGTCCATGCGCGCCCCCCAAGCCACGCCACTGTATCTTTGCAATCAATAATCTCTTATAAATTTTCGGTTTATTGGCAATGATATAGTACTTATAAGTAGATATTGAAATAAATAGAGAGAAAACAGCATGGAATTCTCAAATAAAAAGTTATGCGTTAGTCAAAAACTAGCACCTCCTTGCAGATTATTTTTATCGCTACTCAATTATTTCAATTAAGGTATGAAACAAATGCCACACATCAAATTTTCATTTAATAATTAGATACCGAGTATATAGTGTCATGCCTACATTAACATAATGTGAAAAGCATGCTTAATAATTTCTTAAAAAATGCAGTAAACGAACGAAGATGTAGGAGGATTAAATGAACCAAAAATAATAGTAACCTATTAGGTAGATGATGGCTATGGATAGAATCGTAAAGAGTGCAAAAAGGGCAATGTTTTAAGTGTATTCAAGTAGAAAAATTCATATTTTGTGAAATACGACTTCAAGAAAATAAAAGAACAAGGTGGAAATGATGTAAAATGCTATGAGGGTTACAGTAGATTTAACCACATTGAATCAATGAGTTCGTAAATCTCAGATAAAAGTTGGAACTACGAGAGAAATCCACAGTTTTCACATAAAAATATGGAGCGTGACTCTTACTGAATAAGAATATAGATGAAAATTCCCAAAATTGAATAGTCACCTAGTTTTGGATACTTCGTTATCTCAAAACCTGTCGACAGGATTTGTAATTAATAACACAAAACTAGTAATTGATTTTTGCTTTGAAAGACATATCCAATTTTAAAAGTCCTTCATTCTAATTTGCAAAAATGTTCTTCTTTAAATGTGTCTTTATGTTCTTCAAGATTTTGTGTTTTCATTAGAGTGACAATGTTTAATTGACAATTAATTTAAAGAAATCAATGAGATGCCAAAGAATAGTACCGAAAATTGATCGTCAAAGCTAACTCACTTACACAAACTTTCGATCAATGCCGTAAAAATGTTGGACAATTGGAAATAAACCTAACCACACAATGGTTTATGACTAAGAAGCTCATGGTCAGTCGGTCAACCATAAACCTTTGTATCAAGAAGACATTTGAGAAAATGAAAAGAATCATGTCAAAAGTTTACCAGTTGACACACGCACACATATTGCTATGTGAAAGGTCAACTTTTGAACGTTGGCACCACACTCATTCAATTATTAATTGCACACGAAACAGAGCATTCTTTTCTGATGGATTTGGTACCATATGATGTGAGATATGATTAGAGATCAATAGATTACTTGATTTTTAAATCGGCTGCTCTTAAATAGTACTTATATATTCTTATTTGGGCCACTGGTACAAAGTAGATACATCGAAATTATTTATTTAAAATTGCCTGCAAGCTAAGACTTTCTTCCTTACTGGGTTAGTAGCGCCTGATTAAACAGCGGAATCAATTATAATAATCAAGGAAGTTGAATTCAAAACCATCAAGAAGTAAATAATGCAGGGTGATGAAGCGGCTTACCTCTCCACTCGCCCTGTGATAATTCCCTGCCATTTTCTATGTTCTCTAATTATTTAAGGAGGTGGGCTAATTTTGTTATTATATTATTACAT